GTTCTTAAGCGACTTAGCCGGCATTTGGTCATTTTGCCCGCCGTTCTTAAGCGACTTAACCAGCATTTCGTCATTTTGCCCCCTTCCTTCAGCAGATTAGCCGGCATTAGTCATGTTGTCCCCCCGTCCTTAAGCAGACTAGCTGGCATTTGTCGGCCCTAAACCCTATACAATAGGGGTTGAAGGCCAAGGTCGAACCCTATACAATATCGCTTAGGGCCAAGGTCGGCCTAAACCCTATACAATAGGGTTTAGGGCCAAGGTCGGCCCTAAGCGCTCACAATAGGGTTTAGGGGCAAGGTCGGCCCGAAACCCTATACAACAGGGTATGCCAGCGACTCGACGGATGGCCCGGCCACGCACAAAGACATGCTGACTTCGGAGGTCAAAGTGGGCTGAAGACCGCGCTTGCAAGGTGATCTGGAAGAAGTTCTGCTGAGGCAGAGCCACAGGAATCTAGCTCGGAAAGTCTTCTAGTCCGAGGTTCCTGACAAAGTGGTTGTGCTTGGTAGGCATGTCGTTACCAGATGTGCGTTTTTCAGTTGCCCGTTTGCAGTTGCATGCCCCAGCAGCTTTATCATCCAGGTGTGACATATAATGTTAGTTGTACCTCAACCAGTCACTGGCGTGCCGCAGAATAGCTTACACCCCGCGGCACATGCAGCGGGCCCTGCAAGTTCAAGCTAGTCGATGGTTAGAAGATTTAGTAGTCGTCGTCGTATCAGCAGCACATTGCTGCTACTACCACAACTCTTCTTCGATTTCAATGAGGATGATGGTTGCGACTCCGGCAATGGAATTTTGTGTGCGCGACGTGTTTTCTGCGTGGTTTTCAATTTACATAGTCGTATCATTTGGGATTAACAAGAACTGCATGCTTGGATCTTTAAGCATGGCAAGTTGTCACTTCCGTTGAACATGTGACTGTGAATGTCTTATGCGCATAGGCTGTGGCTCGTGCACTGCTCGACGCGTCAGCTTTCGGCGCACAGATTCCTCGCTTCATTCTTGTGTTCGTTGCCCGCGATGGTGCAGGCGCTTTGTTTGAGGGCACCAGGGGCACAGAGTGTCACAGAAGTCCGTGTTGTCCCTTTGACGGCATGAAGCCTGGCAGGTAGCAGACATCATTGATTTGTGGGAGGCCACGTTATTCAGATTGAAGCCGCGAAGGGCCATGATGAGCTTGCTGCTTGCAGGAATGGGCACGCCAGCACAGGGCGTCCCAGACGGGGATCACAGTATGCGTGTTTACATATTCCCGCGAAAATAGGCAGACTTTCGAGCTTAGGGCTACGGTTTTGTTTTGCTTGCAGCCCCACCCACGGCCCAGGGCAAACACAGTCTTGCAAGGAGCTCAACTCTTTCCGTCTGGGGCATGCGCCCGAGAACATCCACTCGCCGCGCCCGAGAGCCGAAACTCTTAACAACCCATTCGCCTTAATCTGCAGACATGCTCTCACGACTGCACGATTGCCTCTGGATGCAACGAATATCTGGTGACATCAAGACATTCATGATGCTGAACATCCACGGCCAAGCAAACGACAAATGGCCTCGAACTTCGTGAAACGACTTGTGGGGGGCGGGCGCTGCATGGGAAAGTTTTGTCAGAGTACAGGTTGCTACCGACGACACCACGCAGCGAAAACATGCACAGCACATGCCCACAACACACCTGTTTGCAGCACCCATTAGAGCATTACACGGCACATTGAGTTTTAGTTTGACGAGTAGACCTTGCATGGCACGTTATGGCATACATACCACAATGCATGCTTTTGCTCCGGCGACCACACGCATGAATGCGTAAAAGGCCTTGAGACCAAGTGCGTTCGGCCATGGCAATCGCGTGCAATGGGACACTGCCTCCCGCTACACAGGTCACCCTCCCTCCTCCGGAAGTCTCCCCTTTTACGGGGTTGCCTTAATGGGAAAGGTCGGCCCCAAACCCTATACAATAGGGTGAACAAGAACAACCACAACAAAGAACAACAAACAACAACAACATCTGGCTGTGGGTTGGCTTTAGGATGTAGGGTTCCAGGCTGCGGGTTGGCTTTTAATATAAAAACGTGTGAAGCAAGTTTCAGGCAGAACGTTGAATGATGATGAGAGGAACTTTGTATTTTTCTTAATGTTATGGGATTCTTAGGGTGGGTGGGTGTTATATCGAAACCGTAAATATAACTCTACTATAAAACTGCTCGATCCGGAGCTGCTGAACCCCAAACCCTAAACCCTAAACCGTCGGAACCTTTGACCGCTTCGGCCAGGGCCGGCTGTGAGACTTCGAGTAACTAGACCAAAACCTGAGTTTTCCAATATACTATAGGGGCTTCAATAATTACCAATTACTATTTTTGGAGGGTTCCTTGTCATAATTCTAAGAAATTCTAGTATACTCTACCCCAAAACCTTGTTCTAATTATTAAGGCCCTATAACTTGAATCCTGGGTCCTTCGATACCTGGAGCTTGAAAAGCCTACAGTAGAACCCCCAGAAGTTGGAAGCCCAAGCGCCTCAATCCTTAGGAGTAATGTATGGGAACCCAGCACTACTTCTCCTGAATCCGGTTTACAACTTTTCGGGGTTTACTATACCTTGACAAGGGTTGAGGGTGTTTAGGGCCGATGGGTCCTGCAGATAGAGGGTTTCGTGGGCGGCAGGTGAGGGTTTAGGACCTTAGGCATATCAAGGGTTGAGTGTCTTAAGGGTATTATGTGTGGCCGTGGTGGTATTCAGAGATCTCCGCGGGCGGGGTTCCAGGCGTACCATATTGCCGTCAATGGTTAAAACAGGGTTGTACGGTTTCTACAAGAGTGTTGTGTCGGATGATTTTTGTACTCGTATTCCTCAGGGTTCAGTTGTATGGTGTAGTTGCAGTTGTAACACAGAAACCCCCATAGGAACTATTCAGGCCCTGTAGAAACTTGGGCTCCCACGGTACTAGACAAATTTCGCATTCTTAGCGCTCACATACCCCGATCTTATGATTTCCGGACTGTTCCTTAGGTACGGGCCTCATACATTCCCTAGTTCCGCTGTCAGGCGCAGCGCAGCGCGGCGCTGGCGCAGCGCGAGAGGGCCCAGCGCACGAGGGGGAAGCAGCTGGAGGCGGTCTTGGCCCTGTTTTCGGGGTGTTCTTAAGTCTATACCCGAAACACTAAGCCGCTCAGCCCTAAAGCGTGCACCCTAGGGTGGGAACTGTTTTGGTGATGATGTGCACATAGAGTCCCTGTATAGCTATATTTCAGTAGACCCCGGAGACCTGATCTGTTTCTTGAAGGTCCTTGCATAGGCGGCCGTAGGGGTGTCCAGAATGATTCTCCCAATACCCAGAGTCTCCGGTTTTTTTCACGGTCTTGGGGCCATCCGAAAATTGCGGATCCCGCGGTTTGGGCGCTTCTCTGTGAACCCTAAACCCTTGGCCCCCCCCCCACACCCCGTTGCCCTAAACCCTACGCCTTTCAAGCATTGACCCGAAACCCTCGAGCCCTTGACCTGCCAAGCCTGGCGTAGCGTTAGGGTTTAGGGTTCAGGGTTTAGGGTTTAGGGTTTAGGGTTTAGGGTTTAGGGTTTAGGGTGTAGGGTTTAGGGTTTAGGGTTTAGGGCTCAGCGACGTGAGCCGACCGTGGCCGCCATGTGCGAAGGCTCGGAAGAAAAGCAGAGTCATGCGGCATTCCAGGCCCACGTTGCCGAGCCCAAGAGCATCCTGAACCTTAAAGAACGCCCTACACCCCAAAACCCTAGGCCCTAAAAGCCTACACCCTAAACCCTAGACCCTAAAACCCTACACCCTAAACCCGAGACCCTAAAACCCTACACCCTAAACCCGAGACCCTGAAAGCCCTAGACCCTAACATGTACCATACAGCCTTAGCCCTTCTTCCACCGCAGCGTTCTGGAGGACAAAACGCCCTACAAGCACCAAGCTTCCGACCTGTCCTTGAACGAAGCCAGGAACGTTGATAGCGGCGTTAAGCGGAAAAATAGCGTTCTTAAGATTAGAATAGGGTTCTTAAGATTAGAACATGGTTGTTAAGATTAGTTTAGGGTTCTTAAGACTTAGAGTTGGGTTCTTCAGAATTAGCATAGGGTCTTGGGGTCATCGTAGAGTCTAATTTAGTATAAGGGTTCCATAAGGGTTGGTATAATGTAGGGGCCTTAATAATTAGAATAGGGGTTCGGGGGCCCATTATGCGATAATTATAATAAGGAACCACCAACATAATATAGGTAGTTATTTAGGCCCCTACATTACACTGTAAACCCCATGGCGTTATTGTAGATAATCTTTCTATGGGTTCAAGGGCTTCATAGTCAATCCCAGCCCTAGACGAATCAGCCTTAAAACTTAGAAGTACCATACAGCACCCTGAGATGATCCAGAAGCCCCAAACAGAAAAGCTCAGCTCCTGCTGGCAGTTGAACCACAGAAACCCATCCAAAAACTTTAAAACCCGTAGAAATCTACAATACACCCCTTGGGTTCACATTACAACCGAAAGCAACTCCCGAACAACAAGGAAAAAACCCACTTCTGTCCTGCAGGCGGCCTTGCGGCGGCGCCGTGGCGACCAGGCCGCGCCCATGCATGGGGACGGAGTCTCGAAGATGCTTTTGGGGGCCCGGCGATTGGTAGGTTGAGGGTTGAGGGTTCGGGCTTAGGGATCCCTGAACCCTAAACCGGGCTCGGCATTTCGTAAGTTGGGGGTTTACTGTTTTTTCCTTTGTCTTGCAGGGGGGTTTCGGGCGTCTAGAGCTTTGAAGAAGAATCTGCAGCGTGCGGCAAGTGCCCACCTGACCTCTGTGGCTCGCCGCCGCCAGAACCGGACGCTGTCACAGCTGCGGTCGGAACTTCAGGCAGGGGATTGCGTGAGATGTCAGCTCACAGGGTTTAGCTTAACGGGATTTTAACGTCGATGAACTGGTCTGTATCAGTGTCCCAGATCGGTTCAGCGGGCCTGAAGGGTTGGTGGTTTAGGATGTCGGCCCTGTCGCCTGCACCATGCCCAGCCTATTCTTCCTAGTTGTAGTCCTTTGAGTCTTCTTGCTGCGCGTCTGTATAGGTCTCGCAGGGAAGTTGTCAAGCTTGTTCTCTACAGCATCCGCAGCAGAAGGGAATTTGTGACAGGAGGGTGCGCGCCACGTGCGCCAGTTGTTGAACTTCGCCGCACGTCCAGTCTTTGCGACTGTAACTTGGCTGCATGGGTCACGTCGTGTTTCAATGCAGGCATCAAGACTTCTCCAGTTTAGAATTTGTGAGTCGATCTGTTGGTGGGTCAGACGCGAGTTTGCCAGATCGTCCTGCCAAATGCCCTGCAGCCATTGGAGGAGGGAGGAGAATGGATGTTACCTGAGGCCTATATCTTGGAGAGATTGCAGGAGGGCGCTCGAGCCGTGAAGAATCGTAGTCGCATCAGATGTCGTCGACTGATTCCAAGACCTGTGTGGTTGTCTCTGCGCTCATCCGCCATTCCTGCGGGCTAAGGCGGCGCCATCCTTCGTAGGCCGGCAAGCGAAGCCCTCCTAGCCTGCTCAGGCATATGCTGGTTGAGTTAGAGGCATGAATACCCAATCACCCCTCACATGCCTTTCGGAGCACAACAAAGCCAGAAATTCCTCATCCGGCTGTCGTGCATTCCTTGAGAGGCCCCTCGCCCTCCCTGGTTTCCCTCGCCGGCTGGGCGCCGAAGGGGTTTGGCTGAGGAATAAGGGTTCTGAAGGGGTCCATGTCGATTCTTTTGTGGCAGCTTAGGGCTTGTCTTCGTCTGCTGGGGCATTTGCTCTACTGATCACCAACCCGTATCCCTGTATGGCCTCTGTTTTGAACCTTCTGCACCCTTTTACGCACCCTTCCTTGCGAGACCTAAAGCGACAACCCTCAAACCCCAAGGGCCTGCGCCGCAAACCTGCCAAACACTAAACCCCGCTAAACCTTAAACTCTACACCCTGAATCCAAAAACCAACTCTAAACCCCTAAACAAAACAACCCTATAATTCTTCAATAATTACCTAGACTATTTTGGGGGTTCCTTATGATAACTATGGTATAAGCTACCCCAAAACCCTATTCCAATGATTAAGGCCCCTCCATTAAGCCCGAAGCCTTTCGAAGCCCGAAGCTTCCTCAAGCTGCTCTCCGAAAAGAGCCCTCTGAACACTCGTAGAAGATCAGGGCCCAACACGCCGACGCTGTCTTTCTCCGAGGCAGAGCGGGGCTAACGTAGCGACCTACAACAAAAATCCCGTCTCTACAGGTCTTATCAGCAAGACAGACCAGGATCCATAGGGGCTCTGCAGCGTTCTGAAGAAGAAGGAATGTAACTTCCAAAGGGGGTTCCCCAACACGCCTCGGAAGGCTCAAACTCGGGTCGAAATCCTACTGTCAGGCTACCTTAACCTACCAGAACCCACTTTTTTGGTAGGGTCCCTAATAAGAACCTACCACAAAGTGGGTTCTGGTAGGTTAAGGTAGGTTCCGAGACAGGGAGATGGGTTTCCATCTTTTTCTTTGGGGAGACTTCAGGGTCTGTCGGTGACAGAGAGTTTAGGGTTTAGGGTTTAGGGTTTAGGGTTTAGGGTTTAGGGTTTAGGGTTTAGGGCGCTGTCTGTACGCGGAAGGCGGGGAAATCCATGAATCCTGGGCCCTTGGGCTTTCCGTTAGGTTGGGACTCCAATCCGAACCCGGACCTCTCATGTAGGGGCCTGAGTATAAAGGTAATTACTATTTTGGGGTTAGGGTTTAGGGTTTAGGGTTTAGGGTTTAGGGTTTAGGGTTTGGGGGTCCTTATTATGAGTACAGTATCATGGCCTCCAAGCCCTATTCTAATTATTAAGGCCCCCATATCAAACTTCACTGGAGGGTGCATGTGCAGTTAGTTCGCGCTATCAATGAGTACAAGTGTAGCGACCCGAATTGTCGCACTACTTGCTGAGCTCCCTGATGCGAATTTTCCCCGTCCTTTTGGCTCGAGATGTCATGGCAAAAAGTTGTGCAAACGAGGCAGGTCTATTTGTCCGGGAGCTGAAGTATCCTAGGATAAGAGGTTCAAGTTTGGGTCCAGTGTAAGGGAAGCCTTGTACAAACCTCTCCATTGCAGCCTCGGGCCGGAGACAGCCGAGGCCGGGACCTGCGGGGCTTTGGGGGGGCGTTTTCAGGGTTCTAGGGCCCTTAGAGTGTCATCCTTCCGTGGTTAGATGCTATGGTCGGGGTGTTTCTGTGCACACCCCTGGAATCATCGTTTATATCTGTGTTTTGGGCAGGGAAGGGGGGCGGGGGAGAAGGGGGCAGCGCTTCTGCTGCAAACGGCCGGCCCGTGCTGTCATGTACAGTAAAAGGCGTCTCTTGAATTTTAAAATGCGAAGCAGGACGGCAGCTAGGCATGATTCCTGCTTCGCATGGTGTGTGACCTGGAGCCAGAGTCCGATACGACATGAGTAAAGCTGAGCCACGGATGAAGACGCGGCGATGGTTTCCGTCTTCAACTAAGTTTGCATGGACATGGGCCACGTGGCCCAAGCCTTGCTGCACGTTTCCAAGACCCTGCGGCCTTGACTCCCTGAAGTCGGATAACTTATAACCCTAAACCCCTAGTGCCTATAAGTCCTATAGACCCTAAGCCCCCAACCCTAAACCCCTAAAGCCTAAACCCTAAATTGCCCAAGTCAGAGGACGCGATGCGGCTCTCCTCCGCGCTCCTGGCGAACCCCGGGCCCGGGCCCCTCAGCTTTCGGACTTTCGGGCATCGCTTCGCAGCTTCCTCGGCGGAGCGGGGTTGGGGCGCCCGATTCTTTGGGAGTTTACTCTGTGGCAAAGGCACTTGCTGTTCGTTTGGAGTTCGGGCCCTGTGACGCCTTGAGGCACATCGAAGCTGCGCCACACGACACGCCAGCGACGCCGCCTGCCTCCTTTGCGAACTACAGCGCCGTGGCCGCAGAGTGCCCGGTATTTCGTCTTCGAGGTGCCAGGTTGAGGCCTGCAGTTTTTGACCGAAAAACGGCCCTAGGGGCCCTGAGCCAAACGACTCCTTCTGCTGGCCCCAGACGTGCCGGATGGCGGCCACATGCAATCGGCGCCGCCGGCACCGCCAATGCGCCATGCCACCCACAAGGACGAGGGCTCGCCGCTTTTGCTTAGCTCCAAGCGGGGCCCGTACTGGCCTTATCCCCCAATCTCTCGGAATCGCTCTCTCTTGGGATTGAGGGTGCCTTCTTTGACCGGCAGCTTTATGAACCACTCCCTTGTCTCAAGTGATGCCATGGATAGGCAGGGTTCTCTTGACAGCTTTGGTTGGCGCGTGGAGGTTCGGACTTTCAGTTAGTGTAGTCCTTGCCCAGTTCACGCACCACCTCTTGGATGCTTCTGGCAGCTTGTTGCAGAGCAGGCTGCGGCGGAAACGTGCCGCGCCAGGAAGAGCGGATTAGGGGAGCCGAATCTCGAGGCTACCATGGAGCAGGAAAAGGCATCAGATTCGTCCCCGGAACCCAAAAACAAAGCGTATCAGTGAACTACTGGTCTATAGTCTAGTCTCAAGTGCCTTGAATCGCAAGCGCCAGAAACCTTTGGAGCCTCAAAAGGGCGAAGCAGAGAACGCCGCCTCAGCCGGGCCATGGCAGCCAGCCCTGCCTCCTCGATGATACCCGAGGTGACTTGAGAGCACGGTTTAGGGTTCAGGGTTCAGGGTTTGGGGTTTAGGGTTTACAGGACGTAGGGGCCGCGATCTGTTTCTCTTTCGGTTTATACTGTTCGCCGCTAAATCTTACGCCCCTCTTCTTGTCGGGAAGAAGGGAAGGAACCAGTGGGGTGTTTGTGCGGAGCTTTGAAGTTTCTGAAGTCCGGCTGCGAGGTGATGGGCCAGATCGAGTGACCTGGCCTCCTTAGTTTGGGTCATTTGTTTTGCATAAGAAAGGAGCCTGCATAGTACCAATACCATTCCAGTCACACCCAAACCCTCTGCCAAATTGCGGCCCCTTAAGTATTTCGTTGTCGTGCTCAGCTGTAGTTTCTGTGCGGAGCGTGTATGGGCTATTGCACGGCACTTCGATGCTCACAAGGCCTCAGTTGTACTCGGTGGAAAGCTCCTGTAAGAACACAGCAGCATGGCAGGATCTTTCGGATTTGTTGCACCGAGGGAGGGGGCTAAGTTAACCCTAAAGCCTAAACCCCAAACCCTAAACCCTCCTAAGGTCCTAAGCTTTTGAAGTCTCAGCCTTCGACAGGACGCTCATCCGCAAGTTGCTGGATGCCCACGAGCCTTCTGTGAAGTTCACGCTCACAGGTCGCAGCCGGGAGGGTGGATTGATATTTAGGTTTCGGTGGGTTGGGTGCTTCATGGGTTCTTGCAGTTAGGGATGACCTTGCCTATTTT